ATTTAATTGTTGTTATGCTATATAATTGAGGGTAGTTTTTAAAATTGGATTAAGAACCAGTATAATAGTAGGAAAGAACCAACAAATGTGTGAATTATTTTTTACACATATGTAAAGACTTTGCTGGTCTTAATTGAAATTCTATAATTAAATGTCATGGATACTCACGCATTAAGGACAAGGACAAGAACATTTGAACTTTAGCCCTCATTTTCCACAGGAGAGACCATGCTGACATCTTTTATGGTGTGGCATTGGTTATAAAGTTTAATTAAGATCTTTCCTAAAAATATATATCCTTCAACATTAATATGTAAGTTCATTAATTTGGTGATTTTTTCATACTATAAGGAAAAAAACACAGATAAGTATAATTTAATAGCATTAGTTAATGATTACTTTGTACAAGACATTTTATTTATGACATTCAAATTACTGAATATAATATCCACGTGAGGAAGGTATTAGTATTATCTCTGTTTTATATATGAGGAAATTTGAGACGTGGAAAGTTTCATTTACAGAAAGGTTTACACCTTATAAATATTAAAACCAGAACTCAAACTCATTGGCCTTAATGCTCTGCTGTTAGCAAGTATAATGAGTGCAGCTCACATAATGGAATAGTGGAACACATGATGCAACACACAGCAACTATTGTTCTCTAGGATTGACTTTTTTATAAGTGAAAAAGGATCCCCAGCTAAATTATCTTCCCTAGTATTTGCGATATACTTATTTAGGCAATCTGTATCTTATTCCTTATATTAGATACTTATTTTATAATATTGTGGAGATCTATTGTGTGGCATGGTGATTACAGTTAATAATAATATAGTGTATTCTTGAAATTTTCTCAGGAACAAGATTTTAAATGTTCTCACCACAAAAAAAGTGTAAAAAGAAATTAAAGATAATTCATAATCATTATATATGTTCACCCTATAGTGGAACATCAAACCAGAATTTCTTCCTCCTATCTAATTATAAATTAGTACACATTGATCAGCCTTTCCCAATTCCTCCTTTCCCACTACTTTTCCCAACTTCTGGATCACCATCCTACTTTCTACTCTTATGAGATCAAAGTTTTGTTAGTTTGGTTTTAGATTCTGCATAGCAGTGAGATAATGTGGTAATCATTTTTCATATCCCTGGCTTATTTCATCTAATTTAAGGAAATCAAATTCCAGCCATGTTATTGAAAATGACTTGATCACCTTCTAAATATTTTTCAGTTGTTAATGGACCTTTATTTAGTTAAATAATTAATTTATTTATTTATATGTAGTTCTGAGAATTGAACCCAGTGCCTTACACATTCTAGGTGAGTGTTCTACCACTAAGCCACAACCCCAGCCAGGATCATCTTCTTTTTATTGACTACATAGTATTTCATTGTACATATTCACTACAGTTTCTTTGTCTAGTCATCTGTTGATAGATTTCTACTTCTTAGCTATTATGAAAAGTGCTGCTATGTCCAAGAGAGTCCAAATGTCTCTTTGACTACTGATTTTATTTCCTTTGTATAAATAAGTAGGAGTGCGATTTGGAGTTGTATGGTAGTTCTAATTTTAGTGTTTTGAGAATCATCCATATTTTTGCTGTAATAGTTCTACCAATTTACATTCCCACTAACTGTGTGCAAGGGTTCTTTTTTCTCTACATGTCTGTCATCACTTGTTATAGTTTGTTTTCTTTGATAGTAGCCATTCTTACTCAAATGAAGTGATATCTTTTATGGTTTTGATTTCTATTTCCCTAATCATTAGTGATGTTGAACATTTTTAAATATAACTGTTGGCCACTTGTGTATCTTCTTTTGGGAAATTTTTGTTCATGTTTATTGCCTATTTTAATTTCTATTTTTCTTTTTTATGCTATCAAGTTACTTAAGTCCTTGTCAAATGTAAAGTTTGCAGATACTTTCTCCCATTCTGCAGATTGTTTCTTTAGTATTTTGACTTGTTTCTTTTGCTGTGCAGAATATTTTTAGTTTGATATAATTTTGCTCATTTATTTTTTTACATATATTACTTTTATTTATTTATTTCTACATGGTGCTGAGGATTGAACACAGCACCTTGTGTGTGCTAGGTGAGTGTCTTACTGCTGAGCCACAACTCCAGCCCCCTCGTTT